AACTTTTTGCTCAAATAAATAATCATAGTTATAGTCTTCTGGAAGAGCATAAAAAATAAGATCTACAAGGTTTTCTGATACAACTGCATTCTCTTGATTAGTTTTTACAATTTTATTTTGACTTTAATTCTTTTTTTTTGTTTATTATTAGTAAAAATTTTGGTTACGGCAATCGATGTACTGTATATTTTTAAAATATTTAATTTTATTAACTTAAAAGAATCACTTTGTCGAAATGAAATGATCACTTTTATTTTTGAGAAAAAATAACAATTAATATCTTATAAATATTATTATCATGATGAATTGACAATGTCATGATTTTCAAAATTTTTTTGGGTGGCGATTTTACCCGGTCCTCAAAATAACGGCCCGGGGTGTAGGTTAAAATTTTGGCCCAAATTAAGTTTAATTCAGTCTAAATCAGGTTTGATTCGGGCCAAAATTTTAACCTACACCCCAGGGCGTTATTTTGAGACAATACGGTATTTAAAAAATCGCAAGTATTTTTTTACAAGATAAAATTGCTTAATAAATATCATTAAATTGCACTTTTAATTTTTAATCATTGAATATATTACAAATTCTTATCGCATAAATTCCATGTCCCTGTTTTAGCCCAAATTAATTACATCAAAATTATATGTAATTTTCCAACCCTATATATATGTTACTTGTTAATTTGGTTTTTAGATCAAATTAAACTTGACCCAGGTCAAATTGATCAATTAAAAAACCCAGTCGGCATCAACACAATTCCAGCCGTAAAATTCTGCTAGTGATTAATTTGACCCAGGCCAAGTTTAACTTGACCTAAAAACCAATTGGACCCGTTTCATGACCACAAACTCATAAAATCAGCGAAAAAACATTCGGCTAATGTTTATCAGGTGTTCCAGAAATTATAGATATAATAAAAAAATATTAGCGACAAAAGAGGCGCTGAAATGTATGACACTAACAGCCAAGAAATACTTACCCGCGTCAAAGAAAGAGCACTCCAACGAATATCAAAACGGATGACCCAATGGTGAAGAAAGCGGGCAGCACCAACAACGAAACAAGAACCACCAAATTCGACGACACCAGTGACGAAGAAGAACCATCGAATTCGACATCACCAGCACGAAAGAACCAAAAAAGAACCTCCAAACTTGATGACACCAGCGACGAAGAAAGAATCAACGAAAAAAGAAGCACCGAATTTAAACCAAATTCAACGACACCAGCGACGAAAGAATAATCACCAAATTCGACATCAGCGACGAAGAAGAATCACCGAATTCAACACCAGCGACGAAGAAGAATCACCGAATTCGACGACACCAGCACGAAAGAAGAACCAATAAAGAACCTCCGAACTCGACGACACCAGCGACGAAGAAGCACCGAATTTACTATGACGAAGAAAGAACCTGAATCTACTATTCCAGTACCCTAATATAACACGAACCTACAAGAGAAAAATTGTTAGTGAAACGAAAAATAAATCGAAAAACAAAAAGAACAAAAAAAAAGAACTGGTACTTATCTTTTAGTACCAGTTCTGGTTCCCGAATCTTCATTTCCGGTGCTATTCCATTATCCTAATATAACACGAACCTACAAGAGAAGAATTATTAGTGAAACGAAAAAAAAAAAAAAAAACCTGGTACTTATCCTTTTGTACCAGTTCTGGTTGCTGAATCTCTATTTCTGGTGCTATTTCAATACCCTAATATAACACAAACCTACAAGAGAAAAATTGTTAGTGAAACGAAAAAGAAACCGAAAAAACGAAAAAAAAAGCCAAAAAAAGAACTGGTACTTATCTTTTTGTACCAGTTCCAGTTCCCGAATCTCTATTTCTGGCGCTATTCCAGTACCCTAATATAACATGAACCTACAAAAGTAGAATTGTTAGTGAAACGAAAATTAAACTGAAAAAAAAACAAAAAGATCAAAAGAAGAACTGGTACTTATCTTTTTGTACCAGTTCCGGTTCCTAACTAGCGAAGAAAAGAAGGAATAGGGTTAATATTAGTTTAAGAGAAAAAAGCAAAGCAATAAAATTACAGTACTTACCCGATATTGATTTAGATCTGTCATTAAAAATAATAAATTTATTAAAAAAAAAAAAGTAAAAAAAAAGATCGAAATAAAAAAAAAAAATAAAAAAAAAAAATCTTCAAAAAAAAAAAAGTTCGAAATAAAAAAAAAGATCGAAATAAAAAAATAAAGATCGAAATAAAAAAAAAGATCGAAAATGATTATTCTAGTATGATTGGCTGCTAAACGCGTAATATATTTTTGTTACACGATTATTCAAATAAAGGTACGCGGCGTTATATCCGGAAAATGCACTAACTACGTTTTTGATATTTTTACTATAAATGTGTTAAAAACGTGGTTTCAGTCATCAAACAGCATAGAAGTATGAGTCTGTCGCTACACTCCAGACAATTATTGCTTTTATTTTAGAACTAAACTTTAACACATGCACTTAGGAAACTATAATAAAAAGTGCATTTATAGAGTTATATATATATTTTGACCCGAAATTAAATATGCATTTATCGAGTGTACACTTCTATAAGGTGCACTAAAGTAGTTCACTGTATAATTTTCTCTAATAATATAACTTCACTATATATTCATACTAAAGCTGAGGTTCATTATAGGCTTTAAAATTGGTAAAATGTAAAAAGCCCAGATTTTGTATATGGCAACTTCTGACATTTGATTATATTGTTCTATATATATGTAGTTAAGTTTTTTATTATAACAATATCTTATTGGCTAACTTATTTTACCCAAATAGCAGGATTTTTACCTAGTTATATGATCTACCTGCAGGTAACCTGGGTAACCCAGATATAGGTTCAATCCCTAAGCAGAGTTAATTCAATATATAATATACATGCTGCATAAATTACATTCTTGATACCTATATAACTCACTAACCATAACTGCATCAAAAAGATATACTCCGCTTTAGCCGACCACCTAAAACAGCTAACAAATGCATACAGGATGATCTAATTTCAGGGACTAGACATCTATATAATAAAATTTAGATGTTAAATTTCTTTAGCCAATCAAATTGATACAAAAACATGTGATTATTTATTTGACCAATCGAATTTATCAAAAACATATACAATTAGTTGCAACTAATTGGCAATAATCGATTTAAAAATTTTGACCGATTTGGAATACTAGGCTAGCTTAAAAATGGTATAAACAGAGGTTTGACTAATATCTGAAACATAGTGAAATTGTAATTATATTATCATTTAAGCTAATAATTTCAAGATAGGATTAATTGAAATCATAAGTTTTTTTTTTATTTTAACAGGAGTAAGACAGGAATTATCATAATGGTCAGTAACAGTTTTATAATTAAATCATAGAAATTGTATAATTTTGTGCATTTTACATAATTCTAATTTACATACAATCGATATGATTTTGGTAAGTATTCGAGTTGCTTATATTTAAGATCAATGTTAATCAACATAAAAAAGAAGGTAAGCAAAAGCAGAGATAAAATGAGAGTTACTTTTTTGATATAAATATGTTACTATTTGTCGGGGATGATGCTGAAATTTGTGGTCTTAATTTGAAAATGTAAACCCTACTATAATCCACCTATACTCTTTTATTATAAACATTAAACCTAAATTCTTTATCATGAAAATAATTTCATTAATATTTCGGTTTGTAAAGAACAAAAATTCCATATAGAGAAGACTGATACCAGTAGTTCGAAAAAAATGATCCTGGGTTTGATTACAGATTATGCATTTGTAATTGTCATGTGAAAAACTGCGAAGTGACTTTTTTATATAATTTATAAAATTTCTTGCGATCTTTGCAATAAGCATACCAAGTGAACGCTTGTTTTCGCATGCAGGCAATGTTATGAGTAGGGATGGCAACGGTTACGGTTATGACCGGTCATGACCGGTCATAACCGTAACCGATACCGGTCGGTCAGAGACCCTTGACCGACCGGTTAAAAATCTGTCCAATAATAAAAATTAATGTAATAAATATCCTTATATATTTTACTAAGCCAACTAGCTTTTGACTTCTAATAAACATCGTAGAAGATATTCTTAGAACTCTAACCCTGTAAAAAATTTTTTCCAAATATTTCCGTATTTCTCCATATTTTTTTGAAAACTCCATAAATCTGCAACATGATCGACAAAATCTAGACAGATCGAATTAACTTTTTTTTATAGGGTAATAGTGATAAGATCATTAAATTTGGCCCAATAGATCACGCAAAATTTGTATTATACATTTTATGACTATAAAATCTTTTTTATAAAGAAAATTTTATATCATTAAATGTAAAATACAAATATCTCAAGATTTACCCGACCAAATTCAATGATTTTGCACCATTAGAATCTTAAGAATGCCCTCGGCAACTTTAATTAGAACAAAGACCAATTTACTTAGTATAACACCAAGTTTGGATTGTATAAATAATAATCTCTTTGTTATCAGCACCTTGTAGATATCAATCTCATAGATATCAATATAATAATTCAACCCATATGGGTTGATATTACATAGGGTCAACTGTATAAACTGTTAATTTTAAAAATATAACGTTTTCATATATTTTAAAACGGTTACGGGCTAGTTAATTGGTCGGTCAGTTGGTCGGTCATTAACCGTCGGTTATACGTAACCATGGTCGGTCAGTCATTGAGCAATAACCGGCGGTTATTGACCATGACCGACCATGACCGACCGTTGCATTTCTAACTCTAACCCTGTAAAAAATTTTTCCAAATATTTCCATTATTTCTCCATATTTTTTGTGAAAACTCCATAAATCTGCAACATGTTTGACAAAATCTAGACAGACCGAATAATCTCCATGATTTAAGGTTATAAATACTGTGAATATACAGCATTTATGGACAAAACATGGAATATAAAACACGGATTAACTTTTTTATAGGGTAATATAACGTTTTCATATATTTTAAAAAGGTTACTAGCTAGT